GCATTCATACCAATCATTATTTCTCATAATAATGTTAAATAACAACATTTAGGATAACATACAATCTGTATTTCGAATTAAAATTCATTATCATTGTTAAATAAAAATCATTTAGTATCTGTCTATATTTATGAGATGAGGTATTAATGTACACTATTTACATTATTCGGACTATTGTCCTCATTTTTGTCGCCATATTTATCACAACGTTTCGGCCGTTGTACGCTCCGACCTTCTCCAGTTGGAATGTCGAACTGAACCCTTTATTTCGTTCACTGGGGTAGACTGTTCTAGTTCCACGTGCCATGTTTAATGGATGTCAGTTATCAGTTATCGTAGGTCTTATCTGTTAATTTTCTAGGTATAATAAACCTAATGTCATCAGCAACTTTTTTTTTTTACCAGTGCTCATATTGCAATTTTTGCTGTTATAATTGCATGTTTCTACCAGAGCTCATATTGCAATTTTTATTGTTATTATCGCTTTAGTGTAACATGCAAAATTTATTTTCCAACGTCATAAAATATACGGTATTTATTTTTGCGGTGTTAAGCAACAAGACATTTAAGATGCCATGAAATCTTTATTTCTCATTACAGAATAAAAAAGAATAATTATAATAATTAAAACCCTTCAAAATTACTATGATCATCATCATCAGATGCAAAGTGCTAATCATAAACATCATCATTTACAGTTTCGTCATATGGGTCCTAGTCGATCGTCTTATACTACGGATATCAGATAAAATCACGAAAATTTACATAGACTTTGGGTCTCGTCTTATCTATAAGTCGCCTTATACGTGGAAATATACAGTAATCATATGATCATACCATAGGTTTCTTTGATTATCTGCGGGAGTAAACTATAAAGTTTTGTAAATAATTATTTGTCCTTTACTATTTTAAAATTTTGACTGGTGTTATCCGTTTAATGATTCATTGAACTTATTCTTTTCTAAAGAAAGTGACCATTTATTTCAAGCTGACGGATCGGCTGTGAAGATACAAAAGATGTGTGCAGAAGAAAAATAGCATAACATAATTTTAAGACTTTTACTAACAAGTTACACACACGTGCGTCCATTCCATATTTCTTTTTCTCGAAATATCGATAAAAACTGTGTTAATTTGCTTACCGTGTTAATTTATAGATGTGTTTCTTTAGTTAAAAAGAAACAACACATTTGTCAGTGTTAATTTTCTTTACTTTGAAGTTTAGTGATTGAAGTTCAGAGAAATGCATCACATAAGACGATGAAAGTTCCCCGCCTCAAAGGAAGAAACAAAGATAAAAGCCAGTACAAAAGAAACACATAAAAGATTGAACACTGAGATCAACACCGAATAGCGACAGTCTGTTTCATGTTTGGACACAAACTTCAGGTTTTGAAGATTACGTTCAAGCACGAAACAGACTGTGGCCACTCGGTGTTGATCTCAGTGTCCAATCTTATATCTAAATACACTCTATTCTTGATATTGAGCACTTTTATCTATAAATATCTTTTATGTGCCGTTTCCCTTCAGGACGTAGGCGATTATGGCCCTCAACATCTTCCTGTCCCTTGAAGCTCTTAATAAGTTTTTTTTTTGGTTATTTCTCCCAAACTCTGTTTTACCATCCATTTGATAAAGCTCATCAAACATGTTCCGCTCTGCTTTCCTTTGACCCTCTTTCCCCTCAATCTATCCTGCGAGTATCAGGTTTCCAAGCTTTCCTCCTTTAACACGTGCCCCAGAAATTACAACTGTTCTTTCTGACGTTAAGTATAAATATAGCATCCCTTAAAACTATAATTTTTTACCATATGTATATATATATATATATATATATATATATATATATATGTGTGTGTGTGTGTGTGTGTGTGTGTGTGTGTGCGTGTGTGTAATTTGATTGTTATTAAAGTTCATAAGAACTGTATTTTAATTTTATGCAAAGACTTTTATAAAAAATATGCTGGAGGTACTTAAGAATTGCCATTATTTCGACTTTCAAATCTGTCTGATTACCTCGAGGAAGACAAGATAATCTTGACGTTAATTGAATTATACATAAAGAAATGCAAATCAAAGCGGGAAAAAGAAATTCGTTTTGACACACCCATCCCATCAGACACTGACCTGCACACTCGCACGTGCGCATATTTTATTTGCGCGTCTCAAAGTCGTCAGGAATCACATCTACCGAAACTGATAACATTATTATTTTTACTTATTTACTTACTTTTACTAATTTTATTTATCATAATTTTCGCTCGGCAATTTTCGAGTAAACTGTATAGCCACCAGTTTCCTTGTGTGTTTTTTGTATGATCAACATGGATACTAAAGCAAGGTAGTTATGTTGACTATTATTAGTTTCTTTGAATCTTATGATATCTTAACCAGACTAAGCCTCGTAAATATCAATATAGCGGGCATCATCTTCTTCATAAAATTCCCGTGTGGCAAGAATTTGATGTATTTTAATTCGTTCAATGGGCACGTTCTTGTAAAGTAATAAATACTGAAATTTCCAATTTAATACTAAAATTGTAGTGCGCCGAGCATAGTGGCTGAGATAGTTGAGTATTAGAATATTGAATTTCTAAGCAAGCAGAGTATGCATGCATGTTACCGTTATAGATGCCCAATGGAGTATAGGCCCACAGGTTCACAATGCTAGATGTTGCTACAGTTGAAAGAATAACATATAGCAATTCTTTTATCTTCTCCCGTTTCCGTTTGATTTTGTACTGCTATAAAGATAAATCTGAATAAATATCTAGAGTTATAGATATATATAAAGGCAGAAGCCCCAAGCAAGATAAAAGCAAAGAGCATATGGTTTCTGGAACATATGGTATCTAAAATTATAAGGTATTTAAAAGTAGAGGTCCCAAGCAAGATGAAAGCAAAGAACATATGGTTTAAACAACTTAGCTATTAATCTTTTATTTATGTGTGGTGATGTAATGGATTGTGGCTTGGAATAACAAATACTAATCACTCTGGAGATTGTTGGTACCCGTCAAATTAGAATGACTAAAAGACACCATTGCTGCTGCAGCTGTAGTACATGTTGTGCCCCTTAGATTTGAATGGCTTACGAGGCACGTGATAATGAGTTACAATTTATTATTTGAGGTTGAAGCTGTATTTTTCACCTTTTACTTTATGGAATTTGCTGGCATTTGTAAATAAACGTTTTGTATTCAAGATTCACACTTTGCTGATTTTTGATAATCTTGTAAGCCTCATTTTGAATAAATTTTACAAACCTGCTGTTCTTTCTCTTTCCTGCATTTTGTTTATTCTGTGCACACATATGAACATTATTTTATATATAAGCAATCATATTCTGAAATTGTTCCCATAAATGAATAAATTACATGATGCATACTAATAGTCGCGCTTGCACAAGCAATTATTTGTTAGTCTTTTGTGGTTTGCGAACTGGAATAAAATGGCGTCCATTGGTGTAAAAAATGATTTCATTTCCGTGATTTTGCTGCTGCATTTAATAAAAATATCCTGTCATATTGCGGTGGGTTATTTTGTTCCTATTTTGGAACCTTTTCGTTTACTTATATATTGCACTGATATTCAAATATACTTACCTCAATGACTCTTATTTTATGTTCCTGCTTTCCGTATTCTCTTACTTTTGAGACTTGCATTTTTCTCTTCGTTTTCGTTCCTTTTTACTTATGCGTTCCTCTCTCTTTTGTTCCTTCCGTTATATCTGCGCTTAACTTTGCCTTCTACTCTTTTGCTGTTCTTACTCACCTTCTTTCTACAGTTTCTATATAGTCACTATCCCTCCCCTTCCTGTTGCTTCTTCTTATGTATCTCTTCCTCTTCCGTTCTCTCTCTTCGACTCCTCCCCCGTATTTTCCTCTAGCTATTATTTTCTTTATGTTATCTCTCTTTCTATATTTTCATTTTGTGTCTACTACTACTATTACTACTTCTGAATAGTATTAGTAAGAGAAGTAATGGTACTAGTAGAAAGTAGCTCTATAATATGGATGCCTTTCAATCCTACCAAATGTTCCAAGAAATAGAACTCAAGATAAACTTTTCCAAAACAGAAACTATCATCTGGAATCAGAATAAAATAAATAATGACACATACGCTGGACACATCATAAAAATTCAGGATGTGAAATTTGTAAATAGTAAACACTTTAAATAACTCGGCGTATGTATCAATTTAGTATAGAAGAAAAGGAAATTGAACAAAGAATGTGCTGCGTCAGAGGTAGTTTCGCTCAACACCACAAATTGCTACAAAACCAAAACATTAACCTAAAAAGTGGAGTCATGTTCTTAAATAAGATTGAGACTTTCATATAAATGTCATTCATGTCTCCAAAGCCGCTCGGAAATATCTAAACTGTCAGTTGTATACAATCGCTTTCTAAGATCAATTGTTAAAAATGGCTTTGAGAGAGGGAAGCCCGAGAGTCTTGGAAAAGACCAATCTTTGAATAATATGGACTAGCGCTACAGAATCACAAAGAACTGTAGAAAATCAGAGGAAACAAATCACTTGAAGACATTCAAAAGCAGCAATAACTAAAATGGATAGCACATGTAACTCGAAGAGAAAATAATGACATAAACAACATGTTGACATTCCACACTGCTTCAAATAAAAGGTTTGGAAGGAAACCCCCATCAATACTGGAAAGCGTGATGAGAGATTTTGAACATGAAAAACCTATTTTCCTCAAAAATAGTTTTAAGAGAAATATTGTCTAAATTTCAACAGAGAGGAGTAATGACTGCTGAGTCAGTGAATTCCAAAATGTTTCCTTATAGGGAAACGACTATTATTACGAATATCATTGTCTTTACCATTAACTAGAAAATAACATTTCTTTTAAACATCCAGAATTTAACAACTAGATTTTAAAGCTGTAAAATAAAAAGCATTTAGTTAAAATGCATCGATGACGCGATAGTCGTGAATTCAATATCTTATTTATTGCTGCTATTTTTTTCAGAGAGAAAAATTTGGAGAACCTTTTGCTCAGAATGTTGATGGAAAGAACAAATAAATTCGGGAGACCAGTGTACGTAATTTCCTCTTTAATTTCTATTTATATCTTTTATTAAGTAATTGTTTTTTCTTTTTTTTTTTTTTTTTTTTTTGGAATTCTCATGTATTATTAGTTTATTGTTTTAAAAAAAGCTCTTCTCTTGCTCTTGGTAAATCATTTACGAACATCTGTTGATTTGGCCCAAATTTGATTTCTTTTTTCGGTGTAGATTTCTATGCCCATCTACCCTCCCTCCCCCTCTCTCTCTCTAATATGTATATATATATATATATATATATATATATATAACAGAAATAAGAAAGACATTTTGGACACTAACACACAAAAAAAGATAATGTCTCATATCTAGACTATTTAACATCGTAAAACATAAAGGGAAAAAAAAAAAATTTTTTAATAATAATAATATGCGGAAATCTCCACCCTTTGCCTGATGACGGTCGCGAGACCGAAACACGTAGCAAAATTATGGAAAATAAAGCATAATATTTAAAAAAAAAATCCACATTACGACCAAAAACGTTTACGGTTTCTCTCTTCTTTTTAATATACACACTTTTCCCTCGTTGGAACTAATATAGCCTCTTCCTTATATATATATATAAGATAAAAAATATATGTGTGAAAAATAAACATATATATATATATATATATATATATATATATATATATATATATATATATATATATATATGTATGGAAGATAAACAATACATATATATATATGTATATGGAAGATAAACAATATATATAAATAAATATATGTGTGTGTGTGTGTGTATGAAAGGTAAACAAATCTATATATCAGACTAAGAGTAGGTAGCTATATGAAAAAAGTAAAACACCTGTGTTATGCGTTTCATCTCTGGAAATGACTTCAGACTAATAAGGGTTTTAGCAATGTAGTCATATATACATATATATCCTACCATATTCTACCTTATCCTATCATACATTCAGCATTTGTGTGTCTGTTTATGTATTTGTGCGTGTGTGTGTGTGTGTGTTCGTGCGCACGCACGTCCGGCTGTTTTAATGGATAATATATACATAGAGAAACAGGCAAAAAAAATGGCAAACTTGCTTTTTTTATTTATTAATCTCTTATTATTTTATCTTATTTATTCTTCCATCTTTCATTTTGAATAGGAAGCGGACCTGCCAAATAGAAGCGACCGGTGAATGTCGTTCGGAAGAAGCAGCAGAAGTAGCCGATAAGTACCATTACCTTCTGAGTTCCAAAAGCCCTGGTCGGAAGCGCAATTTATTTTCTTGAACTCAGGAAGCTGTCTTTCCTCTTCATCCATGCATCGATGATTATCTTTGCGTGGACTCTTAACGACTGTCTTAAGAAAGGTGAGAAAAAAATTCATCACGTCTTTTCTGAGTCGAATTCTATGACGCCATTTTTACTGTTCTCTCTTTCTTAGTTCAATTCCGGATTGCTACCATTTTGTTTTGTTTTATTTAGTTATTCGAAAATTCTTTGCATGAATGTACTGTATATTTGCTTTTGCATAGATTTGAAACTTCCACCGTCTTTACCTATTATATTTCATGCACTCATTACTATACACGCCCTTTTAAGAGATAACAGAAAAACGAAGGATTATTACCGGAAAGGCGTTGAAAGAACGTTGGGCAATATTTTCCTATTGGACGTGATTAATAACAATACAAAGCCGCGTACCTCTTGATTCAACACACATAAATATATGCAGTAACAATTCTTCAGGACTACGACAAAATTATTCGTACCCCCATCAATTTTGAATATTTTTATCCATTTCTTAGAATCTAATGCCCGTATGATGCCAGGTTTTTGTATATGTTAATGTTGTGGATTCCGTGAATGGAATCCTGCACAAATAAATAAACAACGCCAGAAATTGCGATAGAAAAATAAGTGTATTAAACGTAAGAATACAGACTTGAATTGAAGATTAGTAGTCCAGGAATGCGGGTTAGTAGAAAGTATATGTAGAAGTCTCTGTAAGTAAAACCGTAATCATCTCTTTCTCTGGACTCTTGTATAACTCTGAGAACACCCTGTGTCTGTCTCCGTATCTCACAACCTGTCTCAAGGTATCTCCACGTATCTCAAGGTATCTCCACGTATCTTAACGTATCTCAATAGCAGGTATTCTTTCTGTCAGTATAAGTATACTTTGGACGAGTCCATCTTATGTAAAAAGGGGAGAACCCCACAACAGTTAATAAGCACTAAAAACGAATATAAAACTCAATTTTCAGAACAATAGGTTAACCACAACAAATTTGACAAGCGAATTATTCAAAATAAGAAAAGAGAAAATTATTCGTACAGTAGAAAATATTGTTTTAAATTGATTGATTCGTGTTAGTATAAGTAATATACATAATTATTTTAATGGTGAAGCGTTCTCGACTATTTATTCAGTAGAATATTTGTAATAATTCCAACAAAGGAGATCACGTGGTGCACAGAGTGTCACCATTGTTATTTTTATGTTAACCACACGATGGGGAAGACAAAGAAGCTTAGCGTTGATTTCAGACAGAGAATTATTAACTTTCACAAGTCGGGAAATATTTCCTGCACTATTTCAAACCGGTTAGCTATCCCTAGTACAGCCCGTTATAAAGAAGTTTAAACAGTTTGGCACGACAGATAATTTGCCATGGCGTGGAAGTAAACCTAAATTGCACGAAAACTGTGTCACGAGGTTAATATAAACCCAAGAGTTGTTTTGAAAGACATCGCCAAAAGTTTGGATACGATGGGGTATCAGTGTAAATACTCGCACAATAAACACAACGTTGTTTAAATAGAAATGCGTTGTATGGAAAGCGACCATGACAAACCCACTTTCGCAAACCATGTCATGTTGTTGTTTGGTTTAATTTTGCCAAACGTTCTTGGACAAAGAAAAATTGCTTTTGGGGGCAAATACTCTGGAGTGATGAAACCAAAATTGAGCTTTTTGGCCATAATGATGTACAGAAGATTTGGCAAAAGAAAGGCGAGGCTTTCCTTCCAAAGAACTACGATCTTCAAAAATGTAAATGCATTATCAATTGTTATCGTCTGTCTTCTTAATTCATGTTCTTTTATTGCCCCCGTTCCTTTCACTCTGTGGAGTTTATTGCATCTTAGCTTTTATCACCTTGCTTGGAGTAAAATGACAAATGAAATTTGAACCAGTGAACCATTATCTGAAGATAACTTGTACCACGAATCTGACAGTCATTATATATATATATATATATATATATATATATATATATATATATATATATATATATGCTTAGCTTAGCTTATTCCTTATAAAATATATATTTTCTCAATAATTTTAAGAAAATACAATAATTTAAATATCTAGGAAGTGTTGTAAAATATTACGGAAAATGCGACACATGAAATCTGAGCGTGTATTAGAATAGCGAAAGATGCCTTCCAAAAGCTAAGCAAAGTATTAAGAAATAGGAAAATATCGTTAGAAACAATGAAAAGTGGTTCTACAGAATGATGCTGAAAATACCATGTAATACGAAGTTCTGGGGAAAATGGAAACAAAAAGGATCCTTATACGTCGAATCAGAAAGAAAGAGTTAAAATTCTCACGGCACATTATGAGGAAAGATGACCTTTGTCATATTGAAGGCAAAAGAGACAGAGGAAAGCAGTTAATAATCTACGTAAGGATCGTGTGTAAATAGCAGAAAAGCGATTAGGTGGGACAGCAAAAAGACAAAGCTTATTTAGAGCTACAAAGGACAGTAAGTTGTGGGGGATACACGATCGTTTACATCCTGAAAGGACACGGCACATAGAAGAAGATGATTGTTTTGAGCCTTCCAGTTCATTTTGTTCATTAAACATTCTCTCCATCATTTTCTAAGTAAAATCTCCAGATCCAATCTTCATAGATTTGTGTTGCACTATAAATTACCTAAAATCAATTTTATCATACAGTTAAAATCTTTGACGTCCGGATTTGATTAGTTGTAATTAAAAGCGGTGGTAAAAGTTGAGAAATAAGAATGAACCAGATTTCCGATTGGAATATACCCTTGAGAAAAACCGAGTGAATTGGCAGAAACGTTATGATAATGATGTGCATACTAAACACAATAATTCATGAAATATTTTTTTAATCATTTCACCCCATGCAAGGCAGTAAAGCACAAAAAGTAACTGAGTGTGAAAAAATAAAAAAAGAGAAAAATTATTAAGGAGAAAGAATAATAGAAGAAGAATCAGGAAGATAATAGATAACGATTGACATTGCATTTAGTTTTTTGAAGATCAAAGTTGGCTGGAAAGCATGGAGCCGGAAGAGAGTTCTACAAGCGAGAAGTGTGAGGAAAAAAATTGTTAGCATATAACTTACGGTAAAATCTATCCAATTCAACTGTGAATTGATGAGACCTTTCCGCCAATCTAGTACTGCGCTTAAATTAATAAAGTCTAACTACCATGGTGAAGAGATCATCCGAATAATTACCATTAAAGTATTTATAGAAAAGGCACAGGGAAGCTAGATTTTAGCGTTGGGAAAGTGACTGAAGCCGAGTCGCCAGGTCAGGATCAATAATATTGCTGATAATTCTTTGGATTTGATCAAGAATCTTTAAATATACACCAGGATCACCGGGACATATGTGACAGCAATATTCTTAGCATGGACGAATGGTAAGTTAATAGATATGTAAGATAGATTCAGGAGAGAACAAACTCTCTTAGCAGCAGACCAGCAATGGATCCAATAGAATCCTTCCACTTCATATCAGTGGAGAATGTTAGCTCGCGCAGTGAATCACTGTTATGGACTTTAACATCAGCCATACTGATGGGAATTAGAAAGGGATTTTAAACATCTACTCTACGGTGGCATAGCGAATAGAAAATCATAAATTATTGATTTTTTTGTTGGGTTAGATAGGGGTATATTGTTGAATAAAGTTTTCACTTTAAAGATTTCCTTTCGGGTTAAAAAGCGAAAAAAGGCATTTACAGATGATATGATAATTCATATATAATAATAGTAATAATTTACACGAAAAGAATAGACTGGATTAGTAATAAAAAGTAATAATCTATCCGTTTGCAATCGCAAGTACCTCCTTGTGAAACTGCTTGACAGAGAACTCGATGAAGCAATAAGGAGGAAATATTAAAAACGAAAACTGGACAGATTTTTAAATTACTAACTTTATGTTAATAAAAATATAGAATGGTGTTCATTTTTTGAGATACAATTCTCAAATTAAAAACTGAAGATTTATTTATCGAGAACAGGGTAAATTTAATGGCTACCTTTTTTGTTTATACATTTCTATGAATAATTAGAATTATATCGAGACGTCGATAATCCAATTTTTTGAAAATGTGACTGTCGTTGAAACTTCCGCAGAATTTCAGGTTTCAGGGGTCAATGGATTAATTCTCTTAATTTATTAAAATAAAATTATTTATAATACAAAAGAATTAATTTAATAAATTAAATGTTAAAATAAACGTGGGAAATTTAATGTCGAATTTGCTTAATTTAAAAATAAAAAATAAAAAAAAATTAATCAATAAAATAAAATAATATAATGAATTAATAAAATTTCATGAGATAATGATACTTATTATAAAACCCAGGTTGTGTGTGTGTGTGTCTGTACGTTTATATATTGGATCGGATTTCCTACATGTTTCAACCGATTTCAACAAAACTTCACAGGACTACGTAAAATTACCTTGCGGTGGTTCTGACAGCACCAAAAATTGGAAAAACACTATTGTTTTTGCACAAAATCAATTTGAAAACACGATTAAGAGGCATCGCGTGAATGAAAGGGGGACAACTCATATCGAGTTATACTTATTATAAAACCCAGGTTGTTTGTGTGTGTGTGTGTGTGTGTTCGTTTATATATGGGATCGGTTTTCCTACATTTTTCAACCGATTTCAACAAAACTTCACTTTTTTTGGCAGGTAGTGTTTCTTATTGTCTTGCACACTTTTTTCTTTATTTTTACATTCAGAATGCTTTTAAAATTCCATTTACAAGACAATTGTTTATAATAAAATTCTATTCAATCGGTAGACTCATAATGATTGAAAACAATGTTTTTGTTTGAGTTTGGGTTTGACCAATTCGTAAAAAAAAAACAAAAAAACAAACAAAGAACAAAACAAAAAAAAACTAATTAAGACATGCGTGTCCGTCAACCTTAAACAATAATCTTTGTCAATTTTATTTTTCAGTCTTTATGATGGTCGATACTTGATCTATCTCTTACTGTTACATCCCCGGGCAACGCCGGGCTCTACTGCTAGTAATAAATAAACTTAATGCGTAATTTATTTGATTTAATTTAATATTAATTTCTTAGATTTAATAAAATAAATATTTCAGTTATCTATATATCAATAGTATCTGTCTATCATACTATGTAGAGTACACATTACGCGCCAAAAGAAAGATCCTTTTATAATTGTGCTTGTCCTGCCCTTCGTAAGTTCGAACGGCCATTACACCTTGTCAATATCTCATAAATAACGGATTATCCTGTTTTTATCGTGGGGAAAGAGGAGAAAAGATACTATTTGGTTTTAGTGAGAGAAAGAAAGAAAGAAAGAAAGAAAGAAAGAAGTGTTTAATGTCTCCTGCTAATACCTCATAAATAATGGACTATTATTATTACAAAAGACATATCAGACACTTCTTGGTTTCAGTGAGAAAATGAATGAATGAATGAAAGAAAGAAAGAAAAAAGGTTTAACGTCTGTTTCAGTGAAATGGAAAAAGTTGTCAGTTTCAAATCTTTTCATTTGTACCCCCTTACTTCTTAAAATAAGGACCAGCATTCCTACTTACAATTGTTATTGCAATATTTTGTTAAAGTTGTTAAGCTCAAATATTTAACAATGTGATAGGGGAATTTCTACGGATATTTTATTGCGATAAAACTCGCCATGCGTTTATTCATTTATTAACTTAAGACTTAAGATTCATCAGAAGTTTAAAATAAGAAAACCGTAACATTTTCACGTGTATTTTTTTTGGATTGAATAAAGCTACGGTCACATTATAAAATCGAAAAGGGGAAAGGGTAAGAAAACGAGACAAAAAGTTTTTCTTCTTCTTCCGTCGTTCTTTTGACTTCATCTTTCTCCTGTTTTCTTTTCACTTGATTTTCCTTTTCGATTTTATCTAACTTTCTTAATTGCAACTTCTTTTCTCCTTCAATTTTTCCTCTTGCTCTTTTCCCATTTTATTGATGTATGAAAGTCAATAGAAAAGGTTTAGAGAGAGAGAGAGAGAGAGAGAGAGAGAGAGAGAGAGAGAGAGAGAGAGAGAGAGAGAGTAATACTTTTAATAGATATTACACTGATCTTAGGCAGAATTGCCCTGAAGGGACACTTTCACCCGAGCTGAGAAGACTGACGGCGATCCCGTACTAAAATTTGCAGATTGTATTGAAAAATGACAGAGACAATGATATAAATGTCTAATGTACAACAGGGAAGTTTGTTTTTTTAAGAGAACTAAGCTGTCAATTGATCTTGCTAGGTTTCATTATTTTTATATTAAATGGCAGAATATATTTATCACAGAACACCGTATGCGTCAAAAATATTCTAGATAGCAAACAGATATAGGGCTCAATCAGGGTACGCCACCAGTAAACATACAACGGTACTCCTCACTCTGCTTTCCACAGATCGGCCAATGACATAGCCATGTTGCGTATCTGTTCTCTTTCGCGTCGCTATTGGACGTTTACAAGGAAACAAAAGAACAAACGCCACGTCGATATTTTTTATTTATGGTTTCATTTGTTCTGTCTAGTTGGGATGGGATGACACTTGGGACAACCTTTCGCCTGTCTATCTGACGGCTCAGCTATTCCCTTCTCATAACAATCTGTCTATCTACACCTCACAACGTGTAGCCAGCAATACAAGCAGGCGGCATGAGAATTGCCCGAGGGACAGTATACCCCCCCACCCACAGATGGCATACCGAGACTGACTTTACTGATCCCAACCGTGACTGTCAATATAGACTATCAACAGAGAATCATTAATGGTTTTATTGTCACCTGACCACAAATGCTTTCTTTCACTTATTTGTTCTTTTCTTTCTCTTCGGAAAAAGACCAGACTTCAAAGACCCCATCTGCCAGGCATAAAAATGAAACACTATAGACCGAGATAAAATCACGCCCTCCTATTCTATGTGGATGTCCCAAGCATACTGTTACACCACTTTAGTAATAATATGATATTATTCTGTGTAAAAAAATTATTTGTTCATTTTTTTATTATCTTTGAAGTTGCAATGTTTCCTGAAAATTCATCAAATTCTTCTTGATACTCTTCAATAATCCACAGACAATGGATATTATTTAAATTCTCGTGTTCCATATTCATTGAATCTCTATCTCTAGATCTTCATCACTTTTTGATTTGCTTTTGTTTGCTTTGTTTAACGGCATATCAGCTCTCTATGGTTGATTTAATGCCGAAATTTGATTTTCTAGGGACCTTTGATAATTTTTTTACAAAAATGTATTGCTGATAATTTTTCTCTTTCTTTTCCAATAATGTATTACTGGTAATTTTTTTTTACTATGAAAATGTATTGCTGTTATTCTTACTACAAAAATGTATTTATACAGGGTGTCTCAAAATAATGTATACACTATTTAAATATTAATAGTTAATAATACATTACCATGATGTGAGAACTTATATGGATGAAAATCTGCAAAACAGATGGATTGGAAAAAGAGGAACAGTTGAATACCCCCCTAGATCACCAGATTTGACGACCTTGGATTTCTTTTTGTGGGGGTTTCTAAAAGACAAAGTTTACAGCAGTTACAATCCTGAAACAATTGCTGAAATGAGATTAGCAATTGAGGAAGAATGTGCTCAAAATACCAGTGGAAATGATACTGGACGTTTGTAGATCTATTTCTTTAAGATCTGAAAAGTGTACTGAACAGAACGGCAACCAGTTTGAGCACTTGATGCGAATTCATCATTATATGAACATTCTGCCATTGACCCAAATAGCTTTTATCTTATTAAAGTTAATTTTCTATGTTTTTTTCTTTTTTCTCAAATTCTTTAAATGTGTATTCTTTCTCTTGTATTAATCTTATAGTCAAAATACATAAATTGAATAAGTTATAGCGATTCTAAGAGTGTATACACTATTTTGAGACACCCTGTGTACTTTCATAATGTTTTGGCCCCAATTTGGAAGTTCAATATTTGCCATAGCTGGAACCCTAAGGGTGCAACCATCCCGGGTCAGGGTGGACCTGGGAAAAACAGCAATTAAGAGGTGCTTCCACGCTCCTCAAAACATTCTAATCCGAGACCTTGCTGCCAGATGTAGTTTATCGTCAGCCCCAGGACGAATCACTTTTTGATAAGCTTCTTTAATTTTCTTTCTTTTTTTGCGAGAGACACAATCATGTTTAATCAAAGTCTACGATATTTAATCAGTTGGCCGATATAACCTTGTCTATATTTAATAGCCGTGACCAACATAATTATTTTACTACCGATGTTTATAAGTACAAGTTTCAAACCAAGGACTGATGTATTTCATTGACCAGTGCGTATAGCTTCCCACTTTGTTGTTCTGTTTACGGAGAACTTAATTAGACACAATCTTGAATTATTAGCTGCTATATAGCTTACAACAGGGGTCGGCAAACTACGGCACGCGTGCCACACGTAACACGCAGCTGCAAATGACGTCACGAAGTCCGAACCAATAACTACTACAACGCAAAGAAGATATTTAACCGTTTCAATTTTAATATATACTAAAGTATATCTACTATATATTACTATATAAAATATATTGTAGAACAAGTATATTGACCTTGACTTGTATAAAAAATACGTCTGCTGTTAGCACACTGAATGATTTTAAAACTCTAAGTCGGTACATAGTTAGCAAAAGGTTACCGACCTCTGGCTTACAGAATGATTAGATAACGGACCCGTTCTGAATTGTCAATCATTATTTTTTTTGTTTTGTTTTGTTTCATTAATTCTGCGGAAGTTTCAACAGCAGTCACTTGGTTTATCGAGTGTCTCGATATAATTTAATTATTCATAGAAATATATAAACAAAAGAGGTAGCCATTAGATTTACCCTGTTCTTAAGGATCCGGCGCAGTGCTACGCAAAATTACAACGTTTCAAGTTATTTAATGAAGTCTAAAAATTCAGGTAAATGAATTCGCCGGTTATTACGATAAAACGTCCGAGTCTCCCCCCGCCCCCGCTTTCAAACCGGTATGACGGATTCAGTGGGTTAAACATTTTATTTTTTTTATACTTTATTGATATTTTTATTTTTTAATTTAATTTATTGACCTATTGATTGTATATTATAAATGATTTTGTTTATACTAAATTATTTCGTAATGTCGCTTTCTTGAAACTTTTTGCTTTTAATCTTTTTCAGATTTGCAGCTACACAAGTAAAGTGTTTTCCTGTCCATTTTTGTCTGAATTTTTTGAGACGAGGTGTTGTAACTCTTATATATTGTTTCATATGGACGAATTGATATCTATTTAAATCACAATTTTAGGTCGCTGTGTTCTCTAGCCTTCCTTCCTCGTCTAATGTTTCAAATTTAACAGTCGCCCGAGGAAGACTGGAGAGCACAGCGGCCTAAACATGTTGATTAGAAAAAAATAAGAACAAAAAAAAAAAAAAAAGATGTGAAAATTAGTCTGAATGAAGCAATATATAACTGTTTTCCTGTCCGTCAGGTGTTAATTATCTGATCATTATCCGTGAACTTTGACTTTGCTGGCCTCAGCTCTTCTTTTTTGGGGGGAAGATATACTCAAGGCCTGAAACAGACTTCTGACATTGCACGGAAAAAAAAACTTTGATATGAATGTATTAGCCAATTAAAAATGTCATCTTTAAACTGAGTCGACTTTTTATTTATTCTCTAAATTGCATGGTCACGTAGAAATTTCTCAGAAAATAAATGGATCGTGTAATCACCACTTTATATTCACTTTTATTTACTCATGTACAGTATTCATAATTAACCCATTAAAATAACAAAAAAAAAAAACAAAAAAAAAAAACACGTATAGGTTTCTACCTACAACTCATTAACTCCCCCCGCGTCCCCAAAATGGGACGGTGGTCGTTAATAGTTTATTAGTCCCCAAGTGAATGAGTTGTAATGCTGGCAAACACTTTACGACCTCCTATTAGATATAAGAAGTCATAAAGTGTTTGTTTTCAATGAAAAGCTCCTTCTTATTGTTAATAAGGAAAGAAAAAAAACTCATAGTGGGATTACTAAAATCAATCATCCATCACATTACTTTTATTAATGTTATTATTGTCATGATAGTTTTTTGCTATTATTAGTTATTGTTAATCACTTATTGTGCTTAATAAGGTCTACACTAAGATAGAATTAGTCGCATAACGTTTATTACAGTGTACCATACATCTTTATTATTATTTTTTTTATTGTCGTTAAGCTTTTATTGTCAGTTCCTAATAAGATCTACTGTAAAAACGAATTATCTCTCCACCACATACATTTCAATATAATATTTTGTTATTGTTCTATTTTATTATTATTTATTGTCAATGATCGTTTATATTATTCCTAATATGATCTAAGGTAAGAAGGAATTTTCTATCAATCTCATAACATTTCTAACATGTATATTATTATAATTGTTATATGCTATTATTAATTGTTGCATATATGTTATTGGGCTTAGGCAAGATAAAACTTCAGCCTGCCTGTATATTTATAGAAAAAATAGCTATATAAGGAAAATTAAATTCAAAGTCGTGAAAGATAATATTTCGGTAGTTCAGTTGAGACCTTGTAAAATCTTCGATGCTCAATTATTTACTTAATGTTTTAAAGATAACCATCTTTTTAAGGAGATTTTAGAAGTATAGCTTCGCAGACAGAAAATAATAAAGAAATTATAATAGATATAGCATAAGTTTAGTTTGGTTGAGGAAAACGGTCGTGAATATAAAGTATCCTGTCTGAATGGAACTCATTATCAAATACTAATAGACCCACATTATCAAATCCTTCTAAGACTCACTCATTATCAAATTACTTCTAAGACACACACATTATCATATCCTTCTAGGACTCACTCATTATTAATTGAAAATAGACACACATTATCAAATCCTCACAAGACGCACTCATTTTCAAATCCTTCTAAGACACACACATTATCAAATCCTAATAGACACACATTATCATATCCTTCTAGGACCCACTCATTATTAAATGAAAATAGACACACATTATCAAATCCTCACAAGACACACTCATTATCAAATCCTTCTAAGACACACTCATTATCAAATCCTTCTAAGACACACTCATTATCAAATCCTTCTAAGACACACTCATTATCAAATCCTAATAGACACACATTATCAATTCCTTCCAAGACTTACTCATTATCAAATCCTAATACTCACGCCTTATCATTTCTCTGTAAATAAATAAACCGAAAATTGTATCTATTTATTACAGGTAGTGAGATTTGTATTTTAATTGTATTAATTTGTGCACAAATTATTCAATAATATAATGTAAGTGTTTAATCCAACTTGGACAAAAAAAAAGAAGCAATGTGCAAAAGGATGTTTATAGAACAATAATTAGAACGATTCTTCTGAAAGAGAAAAGAGATGTAATGGAACGGCTATCGACACGGGAAACAGAATTGTCAAACTGAGTTCGAAATTCTGCAGACAATGGTTATGTTTATTTAATACTAATACCTTCTAGAAAAGCATAAATTTATACCGAGACTAAAAATGTCTTGTCTTTCGCATTCCACGATAGCTGATTAAGAAGCGAGTAGAAGAGTGAGCATCTAAGCCAACCACTTTCCCATAAGTGTTACCTGGACAATAATAACAACTATAAAAACATTACTCCACCGATTATCAATTTTTACAGAAGCAAGAGGCGAAATGCTAATGATAATATTAAGCGTTTCATGCCACAGAAACATTCGGCATTCACTGACCGAGCAGCTAGTGTTACTCATTGTGTTTCTCTTCAGTCTGACAATCGGATTGGGATAAAAGTGTAGTATCCGTTCTTTTTATCTCTAATGGTAATTTAATATTAGCCGTTTCATTATAAGGAGATATTCAGCATTCACTGGCCACACAACCAATGCCACCAGTTAAAATTTATAAAATTATTCTATTACAAGAATTTTTCCGGAAAATAAATTTCCCAAGTTTAGTAAATTCTATTACTCTTTCCACTATTAATAGGGGTCTCCTTCCTAACTTTTTGTTTGAAGTAGTGTCGAATATCATCATCTTGATTATGTCAGTATTTTCTCTTCGATTTATATGTGTTGTTACTTCTATTGTAAGTAGCTTAGAGATGTAACTTTAGGTTAAACTTAAGTATATGCTAACACAATAAAGAATAGTCATTAGTCGAACGCAGTGGTTTTCAACTCCTTTTGGACAAACACCGTTTTCACCGTAATTTAGGAGATGAACTCAAACAGTGCATTGTAGTTTGATTAACATTACAGTAGTATGAATCTGTCAGTCTGTGGTTCCATATCTCCCCACCAAACTATAAAATTGCCCCAGTGGGAAACTACTTCCAGGTTGAGAAACATTGAACGAATTTCGATTCAACTATGCTTTGGTATTGTTGCTCGCTTAATTGAAGACTAAATTATTAATTCTGTCCAATAAAAGTTGTTACAGTTAGTGTATGAAATGTGTATGCAAATGTAACAAATATTACGGGACAGAAGTAGTAGTACTATATTTTTACCGATGTGTGATGATGTCACCAATAAATTCCTTTTATGAAAGTGGATTTTGATAATCTATTATTGACTTAAACATAAATTTTTTGATATCCTAGTAACCTCGAGTAACTATTTTTTGAATATATCAATTCACGAGACTTTATTATAGCATACATAGTTAATAGAGAATACGTTGTAAATAAGTTGTGAGGCAAGCTAACCAATATATCACGCTGTTCAAATCCTAACATTTTAGCATATTGGGTGTGCATTTGATAAATTTTTACTTATTGGAAACTTGAATTTTGACAGTTCTCTATGTACACAAACACACGCATAATCGTACACATACACGTACACATACACGTACACGTGTGCGTGTGTGTGATATTCAGAAATGTTAGGGAAGTTTTAAAACTCTAAATTTAAATATGTTCTCTTAATACGGAGGGAATGTCTATTGAGCTGTTTGGTGGATTTATTATCATTAGAGTTTAAATGAATAAATAAACCATTTAATGATATTGGTCGAGAGTTCTTGTAGAATAACATAATTTCGGTAAGTTCCCTAAGAATTTTCCACTTGACATCAAACAACTTAGTCGACACCCCCCCAAAAAAAACAAACGCATCAACAATATTAACAGACATATTGATAATTCCTTATCCCAGAAATTCAGACAATCTATCTATCTATCTATCTATCTATCTATCTATCTATCTATCTATCTATCTATCTATCTATCTGTGTGTGCGTGCGCGTGCGCGTGTGTGTATTTATTTTAATCGATTGACCCCCAAAAAGCGGGAATACCACTGGTACGCAGGAGGTTACAGAGTGAAGGTGAGAAAATAGACTGGGTCTAGTGGGGAGCAAGTAATGGATAAAAGCTGAACGGGGTTCAAGATGATAGAAGATAGTAATTGACGTTGTATTTAAAATTGTGAAGAGTGTAGTTATGAAGGAAGCAAGGAAACGGAAGTGAGTTCCACAGGAGGGAAGTATGAGAAAAGAAAGAAAGTGACGGTTGCAATTACCGATTTCAAGAGTAAAAAGGTGGGACCTAGACGCTACACTTAAACTCACCAGGCACCAGGGAAAAAAGCTCGTCAGAGCAGTTGGCATGAAAATATTCGTAGAAAAGGCAGAGGGAAGCCACGTTAAGTCTGTGAGAAATTGACTAAAGTCGAGATGCCAAGTCAGGGTTAATTACGTTGCAAATCCTTCTTTGGATTTTATCAAGAACCTCGAAATGAGTAGCAGGAGCATCTGACCAGGTATGGCAATAGTATTCAATACACGGACGAATGGTAGATTTGTAAATGTGCAAGATGGACTTTGACAAAAAAACCTGGCACGACACAGTGACCCAACTTTCCTTGCAATAGATGCAGCTACTGATTTGATGTAGTTGTTTAACTTCAAGTCAGTTGAAAATGTGAGGCCTAAAAGGTAGAGTGTATTGCTCTCCAGGAGACGAGCATCAGCCATACTGATGGCGGGTAGGAAAGTTTCTCTATTGTGGTTAAATGGGAGCAGATTCGTTTTGGAGCACTGTATCCCATAAATATAGCACACCTCTCTCTCTCTCTCTTTCTCTCTCTCTCTCTCTTTCTCTCTCTCTCTCTCTATATATATATATATATATAAACAACGTTTATTAATGTTGATCGTGAATGTTTATGATCAAAAGAAGCTAATAAATAAGATAATCAAACAAATAATAACAGATACAAACAAAGGCACAGTTTTAAACAAATTAATAGGGAATATGCTTTCCCTATTTTGAAATTACTTGAAGAAGTCGACGATCCATAGAATTTGTTAATTGTAGGATGTCATCTGCTGTAATGCCGCGAGATATGTCAAGAATTGCTTCCCACAACTCAGTGTTGCTCCTGAATTTCAGTGATTGCGCAGCTCAGTGTTGCCAACATTGTGTGAAAATTTTGTGTGAATTGATTGGACGGTTTTTGAAATATTAGAAAAAAAGTTATCCCAATAATAATTTGGCACGTAGTGTGTATATATATATATATATATATATATATATATATATATATATATATATTAAAGACTGAAGATAAGGAAATTGAACATATAAAATATTGCACCTTGGATACTACAAAAACAATAAACTAAGAACTCAAGTACTTAGATAACCTTGTCCGATCGAGAATTTCATATGGATGTCATGCATGGCACCCAATTCGTTCAGAAATAAACTCTCGGCTACATAAAACTGTTTTTTTTTTCCAGATTAATGATAAAAATGGCTTCGAGCCAATGTACCCTGAACGCCTACCAGAAGGCCATACTTCTTTCAACCTCGCCACATAATCACAAAGATAGCAAAAACTACACCAGTCGAGGACTTTCAACACCAGTAGAAGAGAAAATAATGATATAATGAAGATGATACAATTATGTGCTACTCCAAAGAAAACGTTAAGAAGGGAAACCCCCATCAATACTGGGAAAATACGTTAACATTTACTGAAGCTGAGAAACCTATTTCCGGAAAAAGTGTTGTAATAGATTTACTTTATAAATTTCAACCGTCAATAGCACTGTCTGTTCGGTCGATGAAGGAAACGGCTATTATTATTATTATTATTATTATTATTATTATCACCATTAGTACACCTAGGACCCTGGCATACACTATTGTGACAACTCAGTAGCTGTCATTATTGTCACATGTCACTGGTTAAAAAAGTTTTACAATTCAGTGAAAATAATTAACATCCATCCTCATCATCATCCGCCTCCACATGACCATGTGTAATCACATGGTCATTTAGAGCAACTGAACATCTAACCAGTTCCCCCTACTTGAAAGCCTTAGTGTGTCTAGGTCAAGCAGACCTGACGCAACCTATCACTTTCCAGGACAAATTACAGCCGATACCCTCGAACTTGAAGGTTCCCATTGGTCACGGACACGTGACTATTGATTCTGTCGGGAAAAACCATTCTCCTTGGCACCTGACTTCAGGCTAGGAAACCCTCAGCCCAACGAGGTCGTATCACGATCGTACTCGCAGCTGAATCCATAGCTACGGAACCCAAGCTAACCCATTATACTAAATGGCCGTTGACCCAGAAAAGTAGATTCATCCATTTTTTGATGGGTCAAAGATAGTATTGGCAGATACTATTGGGTTAGAGCCTACAGTAACACTCGTATAATGACCTAACATATATCTCTATTTTACTTAGAAAAATAAATGGAAATAGATTTTAAAATCACTTCCTTACTTTTACGGGCGCGTATATATATATATATATATATATATATATATATATATATATATATATATATGTGTGTGTGTGTGTGTGATATATCTACAATACTTTTACAAATTTGGGGGCGGATTCCTCACACTGAACAAGGACAAAAGTTCATATAAACATATGTTCGCAAATCCTTCGCTTTTGAGTTATTAAGTTTAAAGTAGATGCTGTTAAAAGTAAAATCCAAGATAAAATCCCAAAATACTTATTACCATTGTTTGTGGTGCCACGGATCTTGTCTCAGCAACGAGACGGTAAACACCAGCAATGGTTAGTTAGATGAATTGGTTGACTTCGGTCTGGAAACGCAATCTGATACAGCCGTGTTGCCTCGCGTTTATTACCATTTGAGCGACCGTATGTAAAAATATGCCTGCTCCCGATATGAATATCCTGCCATTGTTAAACGGAACACTTCTGAGTTATCTCACTACTACACACATTTAAAGTATTTCTGATACACCCTGTACAGTGGCCTATAATTTTTTATCTATACTTTATTACAGCAATTTTGGTTTGTTTAATAACGTGTCTTCTTTTTTCGTGTTAGTATCAAGCTACTCTCATGTATGAACAATAGTTGACTTATATCTTGCCATGAAAGTTCGTGGAAGTAAGGAAATTAGTGAATTTCAACAAGTGTGAATAATAGGATGGCACCAGTGTTGCAAGTCAAATTGCTAGTTTTTTCCAGGTTAATCATCAAACGGTTAATAATATTGTCAAGAAATTTAATGAAGAAGGCCATTGTTGTGTGGAACAACGTTCAGGAAGACCAAGCATCGTGTCTGAGCGAACGAAAAAGGCCACTGAATAGGGAAGTCCACAGAAACCGTAGTCAGAGCGGCAAAGATGTCGACAACAGCATGGAAATTGTCGCCATATGCGGTGAGAAAGACTCTGAAAGAGCTAGGCTATCAAGGAAGAGTTTCTAGAAAGAAGCCTTTGATTTTAGAGGTTTACAGGAACAGGCGCATGGACTGTGCGAGAGAATTCGAGAAGAAAGATTATGAATTTTGGCAGTTTATAATTTGGTTAGATGAAAGTAAATTCTGCCAATATTCGAATTCGAGACAGGTTTATGTTTGAAGAAATCAGAATGAGACTTGGAACACTGAATGTCTGCAAGCGACCGTGAAACATGGAGGGATGACGAGTGGTTGAATGGTCCAAAATACTGTCAAATATTAGAGAAAGGACTACTCCCACTATTTGAAACCAATCAGATTGACAAGAATGTTTACCTTTTTCAAGAGGACGTAACGCCATATCATACAAGCAAAGTAGCAAAGGTCTGGAAGGAATCAAGTCACTGCCATAGGTAGCCCAAAATCCTGACATGGATCGAATAGAGCATGTTTGGGAGCACCTTGACCGAAGACTTCGGGAGCGTGCAACGAAAATCACGTCAGTGGCAAACCTTAACGAAACCTTGCTAAAGGAATGGCAAAATATGGATCAGACGATTGTTGATCACTTGATCAAATCCATGAAAAATCGAATACAAGCACTGAAACTAGCAAATGGAGGACTTACTCAATACTAGTTCCAAATACTGTTTATTTATGTTGAGTTGCGATTACGTAATTACATTTTGAAATTGGATGTAGTTTATTTCTCCTGGCTAAAAACTTTTCTTAGGCCACTGTATATACATGACTATAGTAATATTTATAAAAGGAATAAAACCTCATTGTAATGTTATTGTTATTGGTTAATGTAGAAATGATAGTGTGGGTGGAATTTAGATGGAAAGATAACCTTCCATAGATTTTAAGGTGGATCGTAAGCATGCTTCCAATATCCTGACAATGGATTTGTGTCGAATCAAGGATATGATTCAACAGTCAGTGTTCATGTCTTAATAAATAGCTTCGTAGTTCAGAGTTTTTTCATCATACGAGCATTTGAATGCAGATTTTTCTGAAAATGCTCGTCTAGCTGTTGCAAGTAAATATATTTTCATTATTTGAAGCGCATATTGTATACTTAAGTTTGAGGAAAGATGAATTAAAAGAATCAGATTCTCCTTTTGCCAAATATTTCATCTTCAAAAACATGTTTGCTTGAGAAGCAGCAAAAGTTTTATTGTCATTTTTTATTTCATAAAAAATTTCCTAACGGTTCTTGGTTCGTATTAAACTTTCATCCTATGTGGTTGTTTTTTTTTTTACAGCAATTTTATTCACGACGTCAGTTCTACAGTTGAGAATAGACAACAAGGACTGAGAAGAAGAAAAAATGGATAAATACTCGGAGTTTATTAAGTTCTTGTCACTTAGCGGTAAAGTGGCTGAGCATTTACTCTGCTTTCCGGGTGCAAAAGAGATGAAAATTCGAATTTCATCGTGAGTTAATCTTGTATTTATGATCCGCACTAAATCGATGGCCTGAGTAATGTTTTGATAACTAGTAACTGGTTCATTTCTTGATAACCTTCTTTACTTGATCTAACTCTATATC